TCCCCCTAATGGGGAAGAACAAAAATATAGTGAAGCTGAAAAATGCATGAAAACTTAAATGAGCCTTAAAACATCTACTCAGTTTAATTCAGCTTTTCACTAATTTGTGCTACATTGCATTGAATACTGTGTTTAAATATTGTATTTTTTACTAATTAGGTTTTAAGGTTTTGTGTACAAAACATAATATTAAATAGAGGTAACTGTGAGAATGGCACTGAGGAGTCAGTGTCTCTGATCTGGGAGTGATGTATTTACACAGCTTGTAGCACGTGGAAGTGCTTACCACTGGGTTGTTTGCAGACCTGTGGAGCATAATGCTTGTAATCTCATCCTCATTGAGGTGGGACTGTGACCCCACCACAATAATGTCTTATTTGTACCTTTGTTGGTGATCTCAGCAGAGGTGGTGCATCTCAATGGGGTTGGATGTGTAGCTGCTCTCAGGTGCAGGGGGTGTTGGCACGAGGGAGCTACCAAACCCCACCAGTGCTGTGCCCTTCTCAGGTGTGTGGATTCAGGATTGCAGTCTCTATTATAATCTCATACATCTGTTTTGTTTTGGTTTTTTTGAACATGTGTAGTTCATTTCTTGAACTCAATACAGGTAAATACCTTTCCTTCACCAAATATTTATGGAAATACCCAAGAGCAGGGTCTGTTTCAAAATCTTTACCATTACATAGAGAGAAAGTATGCCCTATTTGACACAACACTTCCCATTGCTAACTTGAAACATGAAAGAAGAGATGGGAAATTCTGTGATGCATCTCTTGAGGATTTGTCTGATCATGTTTACAATTGGTGTGTCGCAGCGACCTCGTGTTCACCCTGGGTCAGAGTCTTCCCTTTAATGGCTTCTGTTCCACTGGCCACGTTCCTGTTTGGCATCCTAGCGTATTTTAGAACATGGATTTCTTTTCAGAGACATGAAACATCTTTGGGCTCTTAGTCCTAAGTAAAGACCGTTGTAAGGAAAAATGGATGTGAATGTTCTTGGTTCTGCAGAATAGTGTTTGTGTTTTGAAATGAAGCAGCATTGTGTGGTGTTCAAAACTCTTACAGTCACTTTCAATGAGTATTTGTGCAGTTGGGATTTACTAGGAAAACTGAGGTGGAAAGGAATTTTTTAACATGAATATCAAATCAGAGTACATCTTCAGCTAGAAAGAAAACAGCTGGTGGCATAAAGATATCATAACAATGCCTTTACATGGGCTGAAGCTGGTGTATGGCCAGAAGCCTTGGGTGCCAGCAAAGGTTTTATTAGTCCATTGGAGCTATTGACAGGTGGTGCAGGTCAAGACATCCCTTAAGATTTGAAGCTCTGTGCACGAGTAGCAAAGAGGAGTTTGGCTGCTGCAGTTTGCAGCAGATGTGACCTGTTGTGGGTTGCCCTATGTCATTGGAAACGCAAAGAGGAACTGAAGTTATCTTGGATTGTTTGCTCCTCAGCATACTAAATGCCTCTCTAAAGTATTTCAGAATCTGAGCTATAAAGTAATTTAAATTCAGAAAGGAAGATAATAAGATAATAGATGATAGAAAAAAGTCCTCTGTATATTATAGGCTGTTCCAAAGACCATGAAAGACTTTATCAAATACCTTTTACAGTAGAATTCATTTGTGTTACCACAGGGAACAATTGTGATCCTCACATCCAGACAATAATAAAATCTGAAAATGTTTCTCCTCCTCCTCATATCCACAATATTTTCATGCTGAAGCTTGCCCCAAACTAATCATCATTACTCTTTAGTTTGTTCTCCTGCCCATCTCCCTGATCACTCCTGCTCCTGTTTACTGCTTACTCCAGGCCAGCTTCCCTGCTTGCCTTTCCACCTAGTGCTGGAAATAAAATTTTTGGCATAAAAGTCTCAAAAGATTTGGCTATTCTCAGTCTCTTTATTTGCATGACTTTGTGTTTTTAATGTTATAGTTTCAGGGCAGTCAGTGACAGGCTTGAATGTTTGACCTCTCAGTCTCAAAAATAAACTGTTACTTAGCCATTTAAAAAGAAAGGCTTGTGGAAAAAAAAAGTAAATCCAAAATTCAAGTTACAAATACAATGAAAATCTGTTGATTCCAATTCTGCAAGTGCTTTACAATTTGCTGTCCTGTATAGTTTATTAACCTATTCACTGAAGCTAGCTACTAACTAATAGTTAACTAATTAAGTATAGCCAAACACAGCTTTGAGTTACATTCTTACCTTTTTATTAGCCTCATCTTTCTGTTTTAGAGTAAAACCTTGTCCATGGGAGGTAAACCAGAACTTTAGATCACAGCAGAGCTGTTCAGCTGCAATGGCAAAACAGCTGCTGGACAAGCTTAAAAGTATAACCCAGCTCTAGGGTTTGCTTTACGTTTACATTTACATTGAATTTACCATTTTACATACCAAAAAGGGTATTAAAAAGTTGTCTTAGGTCTGAAAACAGGTCTGTGACTTTTAGAGTGAAAGTGCTAAATGAATTATTAGTAGCATCTTGGTAATTTTCCATATTGAAAAAGCTCAACAGCTTGAAAAGAAGAACAATGCTGTTTGGTGCAGCTATGTTGACTTTGGTTTATCCTCAGACCTTCCCCAGACCATGCAAATTAGCAGGAGGGCTACTCAGATTAAGTTCATGCTATTTTCACGTCTGACAAAGAAGACAGACTATGTTTTTCCACTCCTGACACATGAAAAAAAAAAAAAAAAACCAAACCCATGGATTTTTTTAGTGGAAAAGATTTAAATTTGTGGAGGTTTTTGAATACCACTAAGGAATTAGCTTCCATCTATCCGTGACCTACTGTACATCAATTCAGAAGAGCAAAGTTCGACTAGGTGCCTTCTGCTCTCCTGTGTACTTGGTCTTTACTATTTCTTGAGTAAAAACCTACTACCTTCAAAATCTGAAATGCAACAAAGCAACAGTCTTCCAGGAGGCAGTTGTCTGCATGGTGTTCTGTGTGAGTTTATTAAACTAAATGCAAACACGTACATCAAGTTTGGGGAGTTATTTTCTGCAGCTAAATTGGTGTGTCTCCAGCAAATGCTGAGAATTTGAAGCTGGAGAATGGAGGATATAACCCTGTTTGTTAATGTAGTTTCACAGTGAAGGTGTTAGAATTAGTGAAGAAAGAAAGAGAGAGAGAAGATTGGGGAAAAGCTTCATCTATCTCCTTATTGCCTCCTGAGATAGATTGTTCAGAGCTAAAGGAACACTAGACGTGAACCAAATCTCCTGCTGTCCTATATAGCTTTTACAATCTCCTTTTTAATAACCCAAACACAGGGTAGTCAGACTATTAGACAAGCCATTCTTTTGAATTCTCTCTATAATGTGTATAGACATGATAAAAAAACAATTCTCATTAAAGCTGCCAATGCTGTTGCAAAAGCAGGTGGTTTAAAATGTTTCCCATACAAAGCAAAACACATTTACTGCGCATTACACACTGCTTAATAGGGAGTGTAAGATTATGCTGCTATGTTGTGTATAACACTGCATCTTAAATAATAGGATATTGTAAGTCATGTTGGAAATATGTTTGACATGAATATGGAAGATGCGATGATATGTACTGAGCAATTTGCAGAAGTGTTGGAACACAGCCTTGTGTGACAACCTCTGAGCTGAAGTAGTTGAAAATAGAATCTGGAGTTTGAGATTATACAGTCTCTGATCCTAACTGATTATTTTTCCAGGATATTGTTCAGTCAGCACGTGGATATATGAAAGATAAGATTTCTACTGTCCCATGGGAACAATTATAAATTAAGGATGGGAGGGATTGAGTGCATTCATCATGGATTTTCATTTTTCAATAGCGTCAGTAGTTTATAAGGAATGCAGGATTGGTCTGAAGTAAAAATTGTGATATACAGCTCCATCCCTAAACTGTCTGTTCATATTCTTTTCCAAACCTGTTTTGAAAAAAAAACACACCGAGGTCCAGTTATACTTCTGTGCAAATTCAGAGTTTGCCATTCACTTTAGTGGGACCAAATTTTGCTCCTTCGGTGATGTGAACATTTCACTCTGGAGGTGTTTTTCATCCGCCATCAGAAACTAGTGGAATAAGAAAACTGTCTAAAGGATGGTAATTCAGGTTATCATGAATAAGCACAGTAATTCATGTTATTCTCACAAATATGTTCCAGTTACTGTCTCAATGTTTTAATGAGCAGTTGTATTTTAAAATGAACAAAAAAAAGTTTGTATGTATTATAATCTGCTTTTAATTAAATAAAATGTATTTGAGCCTTCAGTATGCCTGTCTTAATTTCACAGTCTTCTGCTTTAAGGAATAATTATTTTTGTTTTGATAAATCAACGTGTGCAAACAAGGTGCAAATTGATTATGAGCTGATGAAGTTAAATAAAATGTTAACATAAACACTTATGTAATGGAGCCTGGCAGCAAGCTGCTTATTCTTAAAAAGGTGAATTTTAAAAATGTGTTTTCTGTGAGCCCTGTTTCTCCTGAAAAATTCTCTATAAATTCAACAGGTGACATTATAGATAATCCAGTAATCAGTGTTCCACCCGCCATTTCATGGACCCATAAACTACTGCAGTTTTACTTACATGACTCTAGCAGCTATTAATGTATGTAAATAACTTGTGAAACATCTAGTTATCACTCTGCTCATATTAGCTCTTTCATACTAATGATTTATTTTCATTTTCTCCAGGATATAGACCTGCGGCTAACTGGATTTGATTTATAAGAGGGGATTCTGCAGTAAATGGCTGCTCTCTTCATATTGCTACTATGGAAAACAGAATTGTCAATAGGATGTAGTCTGATAAATAGTGCTGAGTGAAGATGCAGCTTCAATAAGTGTGAAATCAATGGAAGACACTTACCGCATGAAAAGCCTTTTGAGATTTTTCTGACAGGCGCCTATTTAGGAAACTCGGTCTGTTTCCTTCGGTTGCCCTGTTTTTACACCAGTGGATACAAATCAGATTGCTTCACTGTAGTTACACAACTAATGTGGGACCATGGCCTTTCCAAGATCCATGTGGCTGAACTGTGTATGGAGAGCGATGGTAGTCCGCCTGCTACACATGGGATTGAATGCCACTTGTGCTGTTGGTATACTTGGATTTTTGCTTCACGCTGCAGCTGTGTCCTCCCAAAAATTGGATGATACCAACCCAGTGGTGACCACCAACTTTGGCAAGATAAGAGGGATTAAGAAGGAACTTAATAATGAAATTTTGGGGCCCGTTATTCAGTTTCTTGGGGTTCCGTATGCTGCCCCTCCAACAGGGGAGCGCCGCTTTCAACCTCCTGAGCCTCCGTCTCCCTGGGCAGATATCAAAAATACCACTCAGTTTGCTCCAGTGTGCCCCCAGAACATTATAGAAGGCAGGTTGCCTGAAGTCATGCTTCCCGTGTGGTTTACTAATAACTTGGATGTAGTTTCCACCTATGTACAAGATCAGAACGAAGACTGCCTCTATTTAAATATCTATGTCCCAACCGAGGATGGTGAGTTCATAGCAGGCGAAACAGGGAGATCTTTTTATTTCCCTGTTCCACGTTCTAACAATATTAATTCACGTGTACTGGTAGCATGCATGGCTTTCTTTGTTTGCATGCCAGCGTATTACATGTGTGCATGCTGCTTTTCTATGTATGCATCTGTCCTTGGTTTTTGTTGGTTTTATTGTCTTTTATTTTTTTTTCTTTCTGTCTACGCTCATTTTTTTTTCTCCCACAGCACGTGTATTTTTAGGTCAAAGTTGGTACCTAATTCTCATTGCCACCCACTGACTTCTGGAAAGATGCATCAACATCTTATCCATTGCATGTGCAGGCACAACAAGTTGAGACTCTTCCGCACCTAATGAAGCAGGTCATATTTAAGTTAGATAGTGGTGTTGCATGCTCCTACTGTCTGTGACGGAGCTCCATGTTATTTTCTAGTCTTCTATTCATTTTTCAGTCAAAAGAATATCCAAGGAATGTGCCAGAAAACCCGGCAAGAAAATTTGTAGAAAAGGAGGTATGTATAAAGTGGACCAAAAAAAAAAAAAAAAGTAAAAAATACGGGGGAAAGATCAAAACCTTGCAAAGGAAGAATGAATAATACAGCTGAAAGAGGCTGTTTGGCTGATGCTGTGAAGTGAACTGTTAGGGACTGCCTTGTCCTAATGAAGCCAGAAAGGTATTTCAAGAGAGGACCGTGTAAAGCAGATGGGAAGATAACATTTGTAAATCCTGAACTCAGTTGCACCTGATCGTTTCTCTTGCAGTATCTCACGCTGACCTTATTGGCAGCTTCTCTGTCTTGGCCTCGTGGTTTAGAGGAGTGTCAGTCACTCATATGTAGTAGATACGGTGTGTTGGTTATGTGTGCATAGGAGGTAGCTTGTATGCCTGGAGCCTGGTACTACTGAATTTGCTGGCACAGCTCCACAGCTCTATATTCCAGTGGTGGAGCATAACGGCTGGGAAAGCAGAGCTGGAAATCCACATTGACTTTCTGTGTGATACACCTTGTTCTCTTGGAGCAGTGTTAACTTTCCTGAAATGTAGATGTGAAGCACTTTTTTTCGTTTACATGTTTCTAAAAGTGAGCGTTGATTTCCTTTATTATGTGATTACAGCTCTCTTTGTAAAGCTGAAAATCTCTTAATAGGGGTG